CCAGCAACAGAAGAACAATCTGAATCCTATTACTATCTGAAAAAAAAAATACAATCATGGGTATTTTCACAATCAAAAATGATCCCTCAAATCAAAGCATTTGCAGAGGTATGTATTTGTAGATTTGCTAATTATACCCATTCTTATCCCTAAATCTGTTTTTGTATGAAGGTGACAATATTGTCAGTTCAAAGATATTATCTAACATTTGAGATAATTTGTTCACCATTTCTGTTAGTATTTATTCACTCAGCACCTTTCTCTACAAAGAAAAACTTCACAAAACTCTATGGGGAACAAAGGATGTAGGATTTCATAAGAGCAAAATTTCATAGGCAAGAAAATTGACTCTGAGGCAAATAACTAGGGGCCTAAGGAACTACCTATTTTTTATATTATCGGGATGACAAAGCAGGCAAAAAAGAGTTTAAGAATTTTATACCAGTGACAGGCACCAGTTCTCCAGTCTATTTAGTAGCCAGTGTTAAATCTTACTTAAAGGATTCAATGTGGTACCATTTGTAGAGCAGACAATGGTGAGTGAGGCCATAAAGGGGTGAGAGGTAAGTGGGTGGGGGTTAGAAAGAGAAAAGCGTTGAGAGAATCAAATGGTGGAGGACTGAGTGGAAGTCACACTGACCTCCTCCCAGGACCAACCTGGAATTACAGCTAAACTGTGGAGAAATCACCTGGAACAAACAACTGAACAAGAGTGAGAGAGGAGCCTTGTAACTTCGGAGACAGGAGAATCGTCTTTAGCGCAACCTGTCACTTACCCTGGTCTCAGGCAAAGGTGGAGCAAAGTGGGCAGGAGACGCCTGAGAAGACACTGGGGAAGGAGGCTTTGAGGAGAGAACTGAGAAAATAGCAGGTGGAATCTCAGTGCTGACTCATCCCCCATGTGGCAGTAGCCATCTTGCTCAGGCAGAGACCACTCTCCCTGAGCGGCACCAGCATCAAAGGACCCAAAACCCCACCCCCAGGTGGGATTCCACCCCTCCCTGTGGTGTCTAGGTCTCCTGCTGAGTGCAGAGTGGCAGCCACAGACCGTAGATCCCTGGCTAAAGAGGGCACACAGAGGTCTGGCAACACTTGAGGAGAGACTGGAGACACAGGCTTTGGGGAAAGAATGGACAGAGTAGCTGGTGGGATCCCAGTGTGAACTCCTCCCCCATACAGCTGCAGCTAGAGAGGACCCAATGACCCCCGGCCCCAGGAGGGACTCCGCCCCGCCCTGAGCTGTCTAAGGCACCCTGCTGTGTTCAGAGTGAATAGATTAACAGCTGAAAGAGAAAGCCACAAACAGTAGATTCCTGGAAGTCTCAAACAGACTGCCTAAGGTCAGACAGGGACGACATCTGACATCATCAGAGGCGGATCCAGAGTAAAAACCAGGGTCTCCAACCATAGAAGTTCACACCACAAAGTCAGGAAATCAAGACAGATCAACTTAAGAATCCGAAGCAAAAGAGAAGAGTCTCACAAAGAATGGGAAGACAAAGAAATATGCCCCACTCAAAGGGAAAGGAGGAATCCCCACAAAGACAACTAAATGAAATAGAGACAAATAAACTCTCAGATTGAGTTCCAAACAATGGTTCTAAGGAAGCTCAATGAGCTCAGGGAGCTCAGAGAGAATTACCAAAAACTACAGGGAAACTATGAGGAACTTACTGCAAACTGTATCAGCATGAAAAAGGACATAGAGACTACCCATAGAGGCAAGAGGAAATGAAGAATACAATTTCTGAATTGAAGAACACAGGAGAAGGAATCAAAAGAAGGCTAGATGAAGCTGAGGACCGAATCAGCAAGCTGGAGGACAAGATAGGAAAAAGCTCCCAGAAAGAGCAAGAAAATGAAAAAGGACTCAGAAAGAATGAAGAGGCATTGAGGCAAATGCAGGACAACCTGAAACGTAATAATATCCGTATAATAGGGATACCAGAAGGAGAAGAGGATGACGAAGGGGTAGAGAACCTGTTTGATAAAGTAATGATGGAAAACTTCTCTCATTGGAGGAGAGAAAAAGGCACACAAGTCCAGGAAGCACAGGGAATCCCATTCAAGAGGGACCCAATGAGGCCCACTCCAAGACACATCATCATTAAAATGGCAAATAGCAAAGACAAACAGAGAATCCTAAAGCAAGCAAGGGAGAAAGAGGTAGTAACATATAAGGGAGCCCCAATATGTCTAGCATCTGACTTCTCAACAGAAACACTGCAAGCCAGAAGGGACTGGCAAGAAATATTCCAAGTCATGAAAATGCAAAGGTCTGCAACCAAGACTGCTCTACCCAGCAAGGTTCTCAATTAAAATGGAAGGCAAAATAAGGAGTTTTCCAGACAAAAGAAGGCTAAAAGAATACACCTCCACCAAACCAGCACTGCAAAATATGCTAAAGGAACTGCTTTAAGACGAAGAAAAAGTTTCTATGAATACTCAGTTCCTTTCAGAGTTGCCAGTACTTGATATTACCAATATTTTTAATACTCAATAATTTGATTGTGACAATGATGTTATTTTCATTGTTCCTTTACTGTTTGTTGAAACTAAACCTGTTTTATTATATTTCTTCCCTATTTCTATGATTTTTTTAAAAACACTTTAATTGACTTTTTGGTATTCTTTATCCATTTATTGATTAAAGGTTTGTAGAATTTTTTTCCCTAAAAAACAAACAAACAAACAAAAAACCTATTAACCATGTTTTAGATGTGTTGCAAATACTTTTCTATTCTATTCCTTGTCTTTTAAGTTTTTTATATGTTTATTACTAGATAGTTAAATGTTTAATATAGTCATAATGTCAATATTTATAGCTTCTGGGTTTGAATATTTTACTTCAGGTCATGAAAAATATTAGTTCTATTTTCTTCTAAAACTCCTTAGAGTCTACATATTGATTTTTAACTCACCTGAATATTTCTTGTATAATGTGTGAAATAGGGCTCTATATTTGTTGTATTTCAAGTACTAGTTGTGTATGCACCTTATTTGTTGAATAAGCCTTATTTTCCCCATTGATTTGAAATATCAACTTAATATATTACATTGTCAGAGAGCTATATACATTTGTCTCTAGAATGCTCATTATATTTCATTGATCTACTTGATTATTTCTGTGCAGGTGTCAGGTTGGTTTAATTTCTGAGACTTTATAAGGGTTTTAAATTTTTTTAAATATTTTATAATTAACTCTGACCTTTAAAAAATAAATAAAATCAATCTGTATTTAAGAAAGAAAGAAAGAGAGAGAGATGGAACTCCTACATTTTGCAACAACATGGATGGAACTGGAGAATATTAAGCTAAGTGAAATAAGCCAGTTGATAAAAGACAAATACCATATGATCTCACCTATAAGTGGATTCTATTCAACAAAATAAACTAACAAAAAAAATAAACCACAGGCTCGGAGACATGGAACAGACTTAACGTGACCAGAGGGGAGGGGGAAAGAAGACAAAGGTGGAAAGAAGGAGAAGGGACTAGACAAAGCACTTGTATGAATGACCCATGGACATGGACAACAGAGTGGGAATTGACTGTGGGAGTAGGGGGTGGGGGTGTGATGGGTAGAGGTGGGTAAAGGGGGAAAAACTGAGACAACTGTAATAGAATAAACATGATTTATAAATTAAAAAAATAAAAAAGAGAAAATGGTTAAACTATTATGTTTCAGTATACTAGAAAATTTATAGGCATCATTTCATTTAAACCTCATTCAGCTCAAGGATGAGTATACTATTATTTTACTTCCCCAGTTCTCACATCTAGGAATTTGTCACATCTCTATCAAGAATTGGTATTTGAACCTATGTCTGTTGTCTTCTCAGCCCACTGTATCATATATACTCACTAGGGTAATGAGAGAATAGATGTGTGGTACTGAAAACCAAGACTTTATTTTCTTTCTCATTGGAAGGGTCCAACGGTCTTTATTTATTTATGTATACATTTTTTTATTATTTGAAGAAGTAATATATTCTCTCAGCACAAGATTTGAAAGATATAAAGATACCTCGTTACCCTTCCCGAAGGCAATTAATGATACGAGTTGCTTGTGTATCCTTCCAGAATTTTCATCTCTTTACTTATTTTTACCTAAGGCCAAATGCAAGCAGCCTACCTGGCTGGGAAGCCTTCATGTCAGTATTTGGAATGGGATTAAGAAGGCCACCCATCATGCTAACATAAAGCAGGCAGTATTTATCTTCAGAGCTCACTCTGTTGCCTTTGGATGACTTTACTTTTCTCCATCTCCTACTGTCCTGCTTACCCTGACCTGTACTTTCCTCCCTAAAGAGAAACTCCAGCTTCAGACAGTACCTGTTCTGTTACATTCCTCTGAACCCTGCTTGCTGTTGCCTCACATGCTGTCTTGGCTGAAAAATTTATCCCCACTAGGGAATTCATGAGTGTCTGTGGATTGATTGATGAGCCACCCTTTTCACAAAACATGTTTACATTTTAACAAGGGGCTTCAATCAAAAGAATGAGTTGAATAATGGGGATTGCAGGTGATTTGTCATGACAGGCCAACAGGATAGTGAGTTTTTTTTGTGTGTTTTTTCCCTGAGAAGGTACCACCTTGTGGCTCTTTCTATCTACTTACTCTGTGGGTGTCATGTCAACTGGGTATCCAGAAACTTTGGCCACCTGAAATTGTTTGACTCTCAAGGCAGTAAGAACCCTGATCATGATTTTGTTTCTTTCAGCAGTACATAGACATTTAGAGTTTTTGAAACTAAATCCCCAAAGCTGTAGAAATTCTCCCCTAATATATTAAAACTATAACCTCAAATCTTATCTAAAAAAGAAACAACTATAACAATAAATAGGAGAAATCTTCTGACTTTAATATTCACTAAATTTTATCTCATTCTGCCCCTTCCAAAATAACATTGAGACTATGAAGCTGGACCAGATGGCTTCACAAATTCAATGTTTTCCCTAATCTTGGGGTATTGAGAAGTGGATATCTCTTCTCGGATTTATTGAAGAAATCTTTGTTTGTGAATAGAATTCATTTTGATTTCCACAGGTAACATTCTTTTCACACAATTAGGCACAACATCACAATTCAAGGGAGAAAAGTAGGGATCTTCATCAAAGTCGCCTGCATTAACAAACAAACAAATAAGAACATTTTCAGCCATGGCATTGGGGACTTTGCATAGAGTAGAAGCAGAAGAAAATTTTATCTAATGAAGAAATGAGAAGAAGAACTTGAAAGAAAGTAAAAATATGGTGCTTTCTTTGGATAGTTTAATATAAATTCAGGGTTAATTAATTCATCTTGACAGCACTGTTTAGACAATTACAAGTGCATATGTTCTTCCTGCATTGTAAATAATAAGCTGTGTCATTCACAGTAGCCTTAACCTAGGGGAGGACATACATGGACAAGCCTCAGAGGCCTTCAAGAGAGACAGCATAAAATGGTAACACACACATCTATACTCTCTGTGAATTTAATACTCTTGATCTGAAGGTTTAGCTGTTTCTCAACCTAAGAGTGTCCAGTGGTACAGAAGGCACAAGTTTTCACTCTGTGCTAATAGAATTAAGCTTCTAGATGTCACAGGTCTGATGGCAGCATGCAGATTGCAGTTTTAGAATCTGGGCTCAAGAGGATAGACTACCTGCCCCACTGGCTGAGTTACTTTACAAATCCAGGTACCTTAGTTCTCTGGACACATGGATTTGTAAAATTAGGGGATTGCACCAGACAATTTCTAAAGTTTCTTCTGGTTTTAGTGATATATAACAATTGTTTTTAATTACCCATGATTTTTTTTAACTTTAGTCTCTTTTCTCCTCCATTAGTCTAATAACCCACCAGATTTGTACATACTAAGTGCTTCTATACACATTTTCTCAGTGAAGAATGAGTGCATGTATACACATGCACATGTGCTTTTAGGTTTGAGAAAGAAATATTTCCCGAGACCATGTATGTGGCCTCACACTAAATCAGTATCTCTGAAATATAAGTGTAGACAACACAGCCTTTTCTCTCACCATTTGGAAAGCTTATTTCTGAAGGCGTGCCTTGTGTGGAGCCAAAAGATTTGAAAGTGGAACTACTTGCAGTTGACTTGAGGGATGATGTCAACAATTTTTGCTCAAAAGTTTTCTTCACTCTTTTCTGTTTATACCCAACATTTAGCTCATACCTGCTGCTCCCATCTGAAATGACACCGAGAAAAGGTTAAAAACATAAAACTCAGAAAATTCTATACTTCATATGGGTAAATAACACCTCAAAATCTTGTTTAAAAAATATAGAGTCTGACATGCAGAGTGTTTGCTCTGGAAGGAGTCAGATTTTCTACAAAGTTGTAAGAAGTTTGAACTGTAATGTGTGGTACAAGCAGAGCCAATTTACCTACCAAATATTCCTGCTTTCCCTAGAGCCTGGCACAAGGACCTGCCGATTACTGACATGCCCAGCATAAAGAAGTAAAATCTCTGTGTTACTTATAGAATCTTTGAGTTTAAGCATTGCCTTCCCTAAAGGAGCTTCACATTGAGATTCAGAGAAGCTGCCTGAATTGATGGAAGAGCCTTTTGATACACAGAAAATCAATTTCCCTGGACTAGAGATATTCTCACAGGCTGCATTAGACCCCACTACATCTCCCAATGTGCAGGAAGGGCCATTGGTCCATCCAAGCAACCCTCTAGCCAGGTGTGTTAGGGATGCTGACAAGTTCTCCATCTGCATCATCATTCTTTGCTTCCCACATTCACTCAACTCACTGTTGACTATGGGCCAGAAAGCTCCTGTGATATAGTACCTGGAACACAGTAGGCACTCAATCAATGTTCTTTTAATTGAATCAAGACTCAGGTGACAGCAAAGACAAGCAATACAAGAAGCCTGAGCCAAAAGAGAAGCTTCACTAAATTAAAATATGGCCCAAGTCACATCCTTCACCTGACTTCATTCATCTCAGCACAGAAGTACAAATCATCTTCATGACATGGGAACAGCTCCATTTTGATGCTGATGCTGTATGAACTCAAGTAAGAGGACATGTTAATCTGATTAGTTTTTTAAAAACCTGCAATTTTCAAAATCTTACCCAAACTGGCATCTTACCAGAAGAGTTATCCAATTGCAACCACCTAAAACAGAGGTGTATCTGCCACTGCTCCCGCACACACTCCTTCATCACACAGTGGAACACAAAAATGAGGAATCCTATGACAGTAGAAGAAGGTCAGTTTTTTTTCAGCTTTTTTCACTAGCTGTCACTAATTCCCAGACTCAGGTCTACTCTTCTCACCATAGAGATGCCTTCTAAAAAACCCCAGGGCCAGTATTGGCTTTCTGAGCTCATCTTCCTAGCCTCCCTGCCAAAGGCAGTAATGGCAAGATGATCTGTATCAAGACTCTAGGTCAACCCTTGGGCTGATGTCCCTCCTAGAGCTTGAGAGATCAGGTCTGCAATGATTGCCAGCCCCCAAGATGGCTCTCAATGATCCCAATATCCTGGCATTCATATCTTTGTGTAGTCTCCTCTGGAGTATATGGCAGAAGTGATGGCATATCACTTCCAAAATTACATAATAAAAGATATATATCTCTCTCTCTCTTCTCCCATCCCTCTCTCATCATTCACTTAGAAGGAACCTAAGTACTGTGTCTTGAGGATACACTAATAGCGCTGTGAAGTAGCCCACATGTGAGATACTGAAGTTTCCAGTCCACAGCCATGTGAGTGAGCCTTCCTAGAAGCAGATTCTCTAGACTTAGTCAAGTCTTCAGATGACTACAGCCTTGGCTGATATATTGACTGCAACTTTATAAGAGTCCCGGGGCCAGAATCATCCAACTAAGCTTCTCCTGAATGCTTGACCCTCAGAAACTCTGTGTTTGTCGTTTTAGGCTGCTAAAATTTGAGGGTAATTTGTTACTCAGCAATAAATAATACATACACTCTTTGGCATAATTACACTTAGTGGAGATCATAAACTTGGTGCCCAAATTTTACACTGCCAGCCCTGATTTTTCCCTGCAAGTGGGATAGAGGAGCTGAAGGTATCTTCCAGCAATATTGGCCATTTCCCATCTCCACCCTCTGAAATATCTCCTTGGGAGATAAAAGTAGGACTCAAGGTGATCCTGATTACAATGCCCTAGAAAGCCAATTGGATTTCCTAAGGTTTAGGGGTAGAATGGACAGAAATAACTCTTGTAAACATCGTGACTTTTATTTATGGTCCATTGTAAAAGTCTTTTTATTCACAAAGCCTTTCCGGATGCTTCAAACTAAAACTCATCTTTCCGACTTCTGAATTCCCATGGCACTCTGTTATAATATTTGCTATATTTGGTCATATTATTCTCCATGTATTGTCAATCTCTCCACCTAGCTGTAATATCTTTTAGGGATTAAATATCTTTCTTTTTCATGTTTATATCACTTCTCTCTTTTCCTCTAGTACTATGTGTAGCAGCTCAATAGCTGTTTGTTAACTTGAACTCCAAGGCACTTGATACACAAACTCTCCAGCCTTCTTCAACACTAGTAATATCTTCTTGGGCCTCAAAATATTTCTTTTAGCCCAAGTGCAGTTTTGAAACCTTTGTTCTCTAAACAATGTTCAGCTTATCTCGTCATTGGCCAATTGTCCTGAAGGTAAACAATTAGTGACAGATCACAGCTGTCTTAGCTCATTGTTAGCTGAGCATGAGTCAACAGTAAATGCCCCCAAAGTTCACTCTAGCTAGGACATTAGTGGGAGTAAAGAAATTTGACTGAGGCAGGTGAGGATCTCCTGCCATCTGCCCTGGTTTTGTTTTTCCTCCTACCATGCTCCATTTGGGAGACTTTGTTTTAAGAAGATAATAAAAAAAATGGAAGTATTCAAGAATACTTAGAGAAAACAAGAATAGGGATGGACTTGAGGAAAAACTGAAAGAGCTGAATTGTTGTATTTGGATAAGAGAAAGCTTGGAGTGGGGAATAAAGGGTAGGGAGAGATAGTAGCTATAGTCACAGCTACCAACTGAAAGGGCTGTCATGAAGGGGACAAATTAGACTTGTCCAGTGTGGGTGCCACGTTAGAACTAGAAACAATGGGAGGAAGCTACAAAAAACCATGTTGTAACAAATCACAGTTAGTGTTTACTAAGCAATGACTAGACTATAAACATGGTGCTGTTAATCTTATATTTACAGATGAGAGACATCAGAGTCCCAGAAGTCTAGTAAACTTGACCCAGTCACAGAGTTGATGTTGAGGTAGCAGCATCAAGACTGAAGGTAGGCAGTCTGGTTGCAAAGTTCAAGGGTTTAACCACTCCACTCTACTACTCTCAGGAAAGGATTACCTGGATAAGATTCAGAGTTATTTAGAAGCTACAATGGTAATCATACTATAATATATAAATTTTAAAATGTACATGTTATGTAAATTTAACAAACATGTTGTACACCTTAAATTTATACAATGTTATATGCCAAATACATTTCAATTTAAAACGAGAGAGAAGTTAAATGTTTTGCTCTATGGAATAGTAAGTTCTTTGTCCCTGGAAATTTTCAGGTAGGGGCATGTGTTTTCTTGTCACTTGATGGCAAGTTGTATTAGGAGTTTTTGGTTCCCTGGTCCAAGCCTTGAGATTGATTCCAGGTGGGAGGCAGAAATCTGGAGGCTGAATGGAATGACAAGTCTCACCACCTCCCCTGAAGGCTGTGTCTCCACTTGTAACCAAACAACCATGCTGATGAATCCAGCATCCTTTTCTGAGCAGCAGTAACCTGGAAGGTGGTGCAGCAACCCAATGAGATAAATCCCTAGTCTCAGAGCAGGTAAAACTCCTCCAGCTCCAACATGAAAAGGGGGCAACAGTGACAACAAGCACCTATTACTGCTCTGATTTCCTGCATAGAGTTTAGTTAGTTATCAGACTTAAAGGTTATTCTGTGAATTCCAATGAGCTGCCTGCCAGCTCTCCCTCTCTGCCTGACAGCCTTCCTTTTTCTTTCCAATAACAGATTGATCTGCTTACTCATTAGAGCATAGGCATGAGAGAAAATGTCAGGTTTTTGTCACCTGCATTTTTATTTGTGCATTCCTCCTTCAGAAATGACTCATTATGATTATAATTTTGTTCACACTTGACCACAGGTCAATCCCCTTCAGCCAAAATTGCAAACTTGCTATCTATCTTTTAAATGACTCATTTGTTCACTTGCTTCACTGCATTCTAGTTTTGAGTATTTGGGGTGTGTGAATGTGTCTCTGTGTGTGTGTCTTGAGTTTGAAACTCAGGGCTCTGCAAACACCCTCTTTGCAAGATGGCACATTCTCTCTCATAGGCAGAACTAGGAATTAGGAACACTTCGTGCTTGATTGACATAAAGCATATCTGACAGAAAGAGACAGCTTAGTTCTGTTGATGTTGGATCTATGGGACTTTGATTTTAGTTCTCAGGAGAACCACAATTGGAGTCTACTTCTACCCATATAGGCTTCCTGCTTAGATACTACATTCCCTTCAACCATAGGAATGGAACACTTGCTATTCTGAAAACACCCTTCTCCCCTTTGAAGTTCTAAACTGCTTTGCTTTCTGGTTCTTTTGTCAGCTTTCCATTTAACCCCTCTTTCCATATGGTGAGTATTCTCCTCAGAATGAGTGATCCAGAGAGAAACCTGGAGTTATTGCTGAAGAAGAAATCTGCATAGGCACTTAGTTCTTCATCTACTTCTGTGTACATTCTACACCGAGGCTGGTTAGTTTGTAAAACACCATGATACTGAGACCAGGGTAATCTCAGTGTAATTCAGGTAGTTCTGTCCAGAGGTAAAGTATAGAATCATCACAAGTGAACAATCTAGGATACAACCAAGTGTTGGTAGCCTCAAAGGAAACCAAGACAGAGTGGGGTGGAGAGCTCAAAAAAATTTTGTCCTCACTATAAGAAGGAATAAAAATGGCATGTGAAGGAAGAACAACACATTTGTGTCTTTTCATAATCCAATAAGAATATGGCTCTATAAGGCTAGCATTATCTGGTGGGACAAAAAGTTTCAGTTGATACACTTCACTGCTTCAAAATGAAATGGTTTCTTGAATCATTAGATATGCCTTATTCTAGATTGTTCCTCCATTTCCCTGCAGCACTTTGCAAGTACCTGGCATGGAATAACTGCATACCAATTCATATTTCCCAAGATTCTTCAGGGGTTAAAACCACAATGACAAAGTGTTCTGAAGTTTTTTAAATGCTATGTTAAGACAAATTTTTAAACGTATTTTTTCCAACATAATTTCTCAAGACTTTCACCATGCTAATGTATACTGTGCCATTTCAGGAATGGGACATGTAGTTTGCCTCATTTCCCAAACTTCTTTGACCACAGAACCTTTTTCTTCTTGGAGGACCCTATGGGGCCACAAATGGACTGTACTCTGGTAAAGAGCATTCATCAAATGAATAAATAGTTAAAAGTACCAAAGGAGACCCTAACTCAATGAACTGCCCAAGTTGACCCACAGCCTGCCACAGTGTCCCAGATCAACTGGGCCAAACTTGAGGATAAGAGCATGGGATAGAGTTTGCAACTCTGTGTAAATCACTCTGCATGTCTTTCCCAAGATTTTTTAATAGGCAAAATCACTTTAAAATGAACATCAACAATTACTCAGAGGTATATTAACCAGAACCCTAGCTTTTATTTCTCATGTCATCTTTGACCTACAATTTAATCACTTCATTATTATTTGTTCCTTGCACTAGAAAATAGGAAGGAGATTAAAGAGCTATAGAGCCATTACTTTAGAATCATCTAATTCAACCAGTTGTGGTGACTTTTCAAGGTGGATTTGTAACAAAACCAAGACTAGAACCTTGGCCTCTTCCATCAACCCCACTGCTCTTTGCTCTTCACCTTCATTTTTATGTGACTCTATAATTTCATAGCCTGGCTCCTTTTTACAATGTGTTAGAATATCTAATGCAGCCATAGTCTATGAGTTCAAAAGATTAATGTTTCTACCATCCAGTAATTGCTCTGTTCAACTGGATTGTGCACTTCAAAATGTCAACACAAGAGCAAATCTGTACAATTATAAGCACAATGTTGTTGATACAATGCTAGAAGAAATATTGCCAATCAGTGTTTGCTATAGACATTGAAAACTAGCTGGAGTTGAGTTAGCTATCTGGGCTTCTCTCTATAGCCCTGAGGAAGAGAAATTGGGCTATTTAATTAAGCCCTAACATCTAGTTAATATTTTTAGTGGCTGTCTGCCAACTCATATACCTCTTGGAGTATCTTTCCCTCCTTTGAATGCCGGAAATATTATATTCCAAAATACAAAGAAGCAGAAGTTACCTTGCAAAGTATTAAAAATTGCAAAAAGATACAAGAAAAAGATCCTCACAGGTCCCCAAGCAAAAAAGGTAAACCCCCAGGTGAGGCCAAGTAAGAATGTCAGGCTTGTTGTGCCTTTGAGGTCATGCAGGATCATCTTCCACCAAGTCTTCTGGCCTTGAGATTTCATGGAATTCAGTTGAGCAAGAACAGTGCAAAACATGGAGAAATTCATAAGAAATATGAAGCAAAAATAAGCCACAACTGAGATGTAAAAGATAGAATCATCTTTAATCCAACAGCTGTAAGAGACAAAACAGACAAGGTCATTGTTAGGTACAGAAACATAAACTGAGATTTTTCAGTGAGACTCTGAAGATCCCCTAGTAAATTTTATTCCATCTGAGAACACCTGGTTGACAAACCTCACTCACATTCATAGGGGCAGAGCTGGGACAAGAACCCCAATCTTCTGAGCCACAGTTCAAGCTTCTTTCTAGAGTCCAGTCAGAAAACCCAGAGGATATGTCTGCCCTACATATTCAGAAGCCTCTCAGTCCAATTCCCTAGGATGCTATTCTCTTCCTCAACAGCATAAACATAAGTTATATATTGCCCCTCAAAGTGGCCTCCCCCCAACTTACACCTGAGCTTTTATGTGCAGTGTAAATTTTGCTTTACATGATCAATGTCACAGTAAAAGGACAAGAGCAATGACTGGCTTTTCTAAATGTTACATCAAACAATGATGGCCTTATCAGACAATGAAAATACAACAAAAAGAAAACAACTCTTATTGTATTTTTTAAAAATAGGATGTATACTTTAAAACTCTCACCACAGCTACCAGTTTGAACTACAGAATACAACACTGGCCACTGGGCTGATTAATGGCTCTACCATTTCTATTCAAGAAAAATATGTGGTAATTTATGAGAACAGATATCCTTCTAATTCCTATTACTGGTGATATTACCTCTGATTTTTTAACATAGACAAGTTTCACTAATTTCTCTGTCTCAACATAGCTGAAACCTCTATTTCAGAACCAGGAAAATCTCTTGTGGTCATATTACTTATGTGGGTGTGGATACTTTCATGTATGTGTGAGTTTGTATATGATTGTGTGTCTTGGGAGGGAGTCGGGGGAAAAGCATTTAATTTTCCTAATAGAGTCTTAATACCTAACCTTCCCTGAATATAAATTTCAGCCTTAAGGAAGCTATAGAAAACTTTTTATAAAAGGCAGCACTATATTTTTGTATTTTATTTTTAATTATATTTTATTGACTATGGTAATACAGTTGTCCCGATTTTTCTTCCTTTGCCCTTCCTCCACCCAGCATCCCCCACTTCCTCAGGAAATAACCCCTCCATTGTTCATGTCCATGGGTCATCCTTATAAGTTCTGGGGCTACTTCACTTCCTATACTGTACTTTACATCTCCATGGCTATTCTGTAACTACCTATTTCTACTTCTTAATCCCTTCACTTCTTCACCCATTGTCTCACACCACCCTCCCATCTGGAAACCATCAAAATGCTGTCCTTATCCATGATCTGTCTCTGTTCTTCCTGTTTTCCTAGTTTCTTTTTTAGGTTCAATTGTTGATAGATTTGTATTTTTTTGCCATTTTATTGTTCATGATTTTGATCTTCTTTTAAATAAGTCCCTTTAACATGTCATATAATAATGGTTTGGTGATGATGAATTCCTTTAGTTTCTTCTTGTCTGGGAAGCTCTTTATCTGCTCTTCACTTATAAGTGGTACCTATGCTGGGTAGAGCAATCTTGGCTGCAGGTCTCTGCTTTTCATGACTTTGAATATTTCTTGTCAATCGTTTTTTCTCTGCGAAGTTTCCTTAGAGAAATCAGCCGACAGTCTTATGGGAACTCCCCCAAAGGAAACTAACGGCTTTTCTCTTGCTGCTTTTAAGGTTCTCTCTTTATCCTTAACCTTTGGTATTTTAATTATGACGTGTCTTGGAGTGGGGATCTCTGCATCCATCTTGTTTGGAACTCTCTGTGCTTCCCGGACTTGCATGTGCATTTCCTTCACCAAATTAGGGAAGTTTTCTTCTCTTATTTCTTTCCAATAGAGTTCCAGTTTCTTGCTATTTCTCTTCTGCTGGCATCCCTATGAGATGAATGTTGGACCTCTTGAAGTTGTCCCAGGGGCTGCTTATATTATCCTCATTTTTTTTCTTTTTATTGTTCTGATTGGTTGCTTTTTCCTTCCTTATGTTCCATGTCATTGATTTGATTATTGGCTTTATTCACTCTACTGCCTTTCCATGTAAATTGTTATTTCAATTAGTGTAACCTTCATTTCTGACAGGATACTTTTTTTGTGCTGTTGAGGTCCTCACTAAGTTCCTTGATCATCCTTATAACCAGGGTTTTGAGCTCTGCATCTGATAGGCTGCTTATCTCTGTTTTGTTTAGCTCTCTTTCTGGAGTTTTGAGCTGTTCTTTCATTTGGGTCATGTTTCTTTGCCTCTTCATTTTGGCGGCCTTCCTGTGTCTGTATCTACATATTAGGTAGAGCTGCTTTGATTCCATGTCTTGATAGTGTGGCCTAATATAGTAGGTGTCCTGTAGGGTCCAGTGGCACATCCTCCCCTATCACCCAAGCTGGGTACCTGGAGTGTGCCTTCTGTGTGGGTTGAGTACACCCTCCTTTTGTATTTGAGCTTTGATTGCAGCTGACAGGTTAATGGGATTAATTTATCCAGGCGACTCAGCAGCAAGGACTGGCTGTGACCACTGACCACCAACTTCTGCCCTCTGTAGAATATCAGTTGTGTGGGATCAGGGTGGTTCGTGATGCTCCAATGTGGTCTGTAGCTATCCACTGAGTGTACAGGCTCTGGGATTTCCCAGGCAGTGCAAGTCAAGGTAAGCCCCCACCTGTGTTTTGCCTGGGACCACTCTGCCTGAGATATAAAGCAATTTGAGATGGTTTCTAGTTATGCTGGGCTTCGAGATTCCCAGGTGAATTTAAGCTGTGAATCTAGACTGGCTGCTGTTACTGACATGCCTGGGGCCACTTAGCAAGAGGTACAGGGACTGGAAGCCTCTGAGGCCAGCTGTTGCTTGTTTGAAAGGATTTAAGAAGTTGTGAAGCATGAACCAAGAACAGCCACTTAAATGGAAAAGCCACTGTTAACAGCTGTAAGTTGGGTGGGATGGAATCTAAGGGGATCTTCAGGGTGGGGCAAGCAGTGTTAGCAAATTTGATTAAGTCTCAGATATTGCATCTGCTTCCCAGCTGTGTGCCTCTGTGGGGGTAAGGGTTCAGAAAGAAGACAATGACCTCTGCTTCCCTTTCTGTCTGGAAGAAAGCTGTCCCCCAGCTCTCTCCTTGTCCCCCAGTTCCTCCTCATATGCAACTGGCGCCTTTCAAGTTGCTACCCCAATGCTGGAGCTGAGAGGGTATGAGTCTGAGTAAGTCCATGTGTGGGTTTCTTAAAAAGGAACTGCTTGAAACTCCAGAAGTTTCTCTCATTGACTCAATCTCTGCTGGTTCTTGCAGCCAGAAGTTGTAGGGACTTATCTTCTTGGCACTGGAACCCTGGAATAGGAGGCCTTGTGTGGGGCTGGGACTCCTTCCTCCAGAGATATCCCTCCTGAATCTTTATCCACTACAAATGGACATGGGACCAGCCCATTCCACATCTCCACCCCTCCTACCAGTCTGGATAGATGTGGTTTCTTGAATTCCGTTATTGTCAGACTTTCATTCAACTCGATTTCTGATGGTTCTGAGTGATGGTTGTTCTATAATTTATTTGTAATTTGGATATGGTTGTGCAAAGACAGGAGCCATTTTAGCCTGTGCCACTATCTTGACTGGAAGTCCCTCAGTGCTATATGTTTAGATAGAAAATCATCTCCAAGACATAATGTTAAGTACTGCATTGACCAAAAATCCGTTCAGTTTTTTCCATAAAATAAAAGACACATTTTGCATTTTCACCAATCACTATTGATTTGGATATTTTGAGTATGTCATCTATCTCCCATGTGGTAAGACATTGACTGTTCTCAATTAATGTTTTCATTTCATTGCAGTCAGCTTCAACTGGTCTACCATGGAGCATCGTCCAGTGAGAAATCTCCAGCACGAAACTTTGCAAACCAATTTTTACATGTTTGATCAGTCACAGCACCTCCATACACCGAAAAAAATCTTTTTTGTGTGTTTCAGTTACATTTTTACCTCTCTTGAAGTAATAAAGCACAATATGCTGAAAATGTTATGTATTTTCTTCCATCATCCATATTAAAATGGCTACACAAAAATTCACCAATTTTGACAAATTTGTTTCAAATGCACAATGATATGACAGTTGTCACAATACAATATAAAGAATTGTTTCAAATGGCATTAAATACAACTAAGCACCACTACAGCCATGTTATGGAGAAAACCAAATGAATTTTTTGCCAACCCAATGCCAAATAATATATAAGTACCATTTGGGTAACAGAGTGTACATGAGAATATCTATACAAATTTTATTGTTTGTAATAAGAATTGCAACAAAAGACAGAAACTGGGTAGCTGGGGCTGGGAGTGGAGCCTACTTTCCATCCTCTGCCCTTGTGTACATTTGAACTTATACTAGGTATTGGACCTGCATTACTTCTTCAAAATACATTTTTTTAAAAAAGCTCTTAGAACATTCTCCCTCTTACTAACCACTTCACATAAGTAATGCCTGTTTTCAGAGGGAGTGAAGTTAGTTTTGTTTTGACTTTGCTTTTGCTTTTGATCTTTGAAGAACATGAACCATTACATAGATAATGGGGGGCACTTTAAGTCACAAAGCAGGCAAGAAGGGAGGATGGAAGATTAGATGAGTAGGGAAAAGGGAGAGAAAGAATGGATAACATGAAATTTTAATTAGAAAGCATATGCTGAAATGGACAATAGTATTTTGACCTTCTGGAAACTGTAATCTCAATAAGAAAAACAAGAGTCTGGGGGACAAGACCTACTACATTTGTTTTCAGTACAGTAGGAGAGGAAATCTATAGTGGAAAAAGGACTTGAGAGGTAATCCAAAAGAAAATGGATATGGGTAAGGAGCCCTGGCTGGTGTGGCTCAGTGGACTGAGTGCCAGCCTGCAAACCAAAGGGTCTCAGGTTCGATTCCCAGTCAGGGCACATACCTGAGTTGCAGGCCAGGTACCCAGTAGGGGACATGTGAGAGGCAACTTTATATTGATGTTTCTCTCTCTCCCTTTCTCCCTCCCTTCCCCTTTCTCTAAAAATAAATAAATAAAATATTTTT